GGGGGAAAACAATACGACTTCCTTAATTTTATCTTTGGGCTCAATTTGACTCTTTTGGCAATGCTGAATAGTATAGCAATAGCCAAATCGAGAACGGCAAGGACGAGTCTGCCATATAGGTCATAGTTGACGATCGCGTACCAGGAATAGCAAGGCGTTATGTCCGATATATAAGGAATTGCCATACAAACAACGAGAACGGCATGCACCCAATAAACTATTTCAATAAAGGAAATGTAAAAGTTTATAAGTTTCTGCAAGTAAGGGTTTGGTTTTGCCACACAGGAACAAGGCATAAAAAAGTCCCATCCGTACACTATTGCGACTGATGTAAATGAAGATAGCAAACAGCGCACACATACTTCCTTTTCTAATCTTACACCCGTAGGTGTTGAAAACATTCGTATCATATTTATTAAATAATGATAAGAATAATTAGCTGAAAATAATTATTCGAGGTAATCTTTGCAATACGCAGAATGAATTGTAGTCTGCAATACCTTGAATAGACAAAGGCGGATTGAATGTGCGTTTTCGAATTACAAGAATTCTGTCCACTTCCTTATATAAGTATCAATTTATTCTTCCGCTTTCCAGACACATGTTTGATTTGTAGGTAGAAGAGTATTGTATATTAAATTTCATAATGCGTACTAGAAAATAAATTGATGTAATTATCTTAATATAACATAAAGATTTATAATATTATAAATTTGATTGATATTTACATCGTGTCTTAAGGATGCCGTTAAGATTGACAGGTTCGTGCTGATGCGCATGATTTACAAAAGGCAGTTTGAAAATATATAGATTTAATTCCATTAAATCATATTGCTATTATTTATTTATTATTTAAGTAAATGAAACAAATATATACAATAACGACGTTCAATTTCTATATTGGTTTTACATCAGTCCGAAGTTGGATTCCCATTTCACTAAAATTATAATGAAGAATATTTAGAATAGATCACAAACCATGCTAATTCTACTCTGTTCATTTTCTATGCAGGAAAATTAAATAATTCTTTAAAAGATAAGAAAGCAAGACTTGAGATTCTGTATACCAATGCTTTCATTAATGAATTAAACAGTGAAAAAATTAAATCCACTCGATTATTTATATAAATTATTTCATTTTAGAAAATACCATTATTAATGTACTGAAAGTAGGGTGGGATGCAATAGGTGCAAGGCCCGATTAAATTTTTTTTGTGGGCCTCTAAAAATTTGAAATAACAAAATTAATTAACAGTTAATTTACATATTGAAATATAGATTTTAAATATTTATTTAAACAAAATTTAAAATCTAATTATAAAAATCAAAAGTCATGACCCATAAGGTAAAGAATTTTCTACATTAAAAATCCTGTATTAAGTATAAGTTGAATATAAACATACATAGATATGTTTTAGTATTTCTGTGTGTTTAAATGAATATAACTACATAAATTTTTGCCATGAAAAATCTTCAAATGTGTTGATGAACGAATATAAGTGAATTTTATTGAATATAAACCTATAAAGAGATGTTTTATATGTTACGAAGTTTTTGTTCTGTGAAATCTTCTAAAATAGTATCAAAATCCAACTGGCTCGCTTCTTGACTTTCAATCGACATGATCGCTAAACTGTTTAATCTATTCTGTAATTTGAAACTATTTTTAAATATAAAAATTTTAATGTCCTGCGGGGCCCTTTCAAGCGCGGGGCCCGATTGGCGCAAATCGCTCCAATCGTCTCAAATCCAGCCCTGACTGGGAGGCACCCGCATGTTTGCAGATCGAATTACGAAAAGCAAGCGCTACTTTAAAATAGGAATTAATAATTTTTATCAACAGCAGAAATGAGAGAGAAATTCTATATTGCATTAGCAGCAAATTTCATTTTCAGTTCTTACAAATAAACTTTCGGTTGTTTTCAAATATAGTATTATCGTTTACGAAAATATTTAGAAATAATAGTTTTGTAACTTTTCTGTCTTTTAATTTGAAAAATAACTTTTATATTATTAAGAAAAGTAAAATTGTATTTTAGGCCATCTGTTACGAGATTTTCTTATAATTGTTTTAATTATAATAAAATGGCGAAAAGCTTAAATTTTAGAGTAGAAAACAGTTTTTAAGAAAAGTGTAGTTAAGTTCTACTCCTGTCGAAATATGACGTATAACACCCATTAACTTTTCACTCTCTTGACCATAATTAACAATTAAAATTTAATAGTATCGATGTTCCTCATATACAAGCCACCATGCCGAATTTCGTTTCTTTATGCTGAGATATTAAGCAAAATGGACGTCAACGTACACACAACTACGTACAGTACATGTCAATGTCATTTTGTTTTGTTTTCATTTTTTTTTTGGATTTAGGNTATTATTAAATTCTCATACAAATTAAATATAATCTACACCGTATATGTATTTATTTCGATATAATTCGAAAAAAATTTTTATTAATTCAAAAAAATAATTTTTATAAAACAAAATTTTTTTTTAATTGTGTTATATATATTTTTTTATATTATAATTAATTATTTATACCCCAGTTTGTATCAAACGCATACTACTCATATACAAGCCACCATGCCGAATTTCGTTTTTTTATGCTGAGATATTAAGCAAAGTGCACTTCAACGTATGCACACCTACGTACTGTACAGTATATGTCGATGTAATTTTTTTTTGTTTTCTGACAGTTTTTTGGATTTAGGAGGTCACAAAACGTAGCGATTTACAAAGAACTCATAGGGACAAATTTAACACGATTCCAATACTTTCCCTGATTTTGTGCACATAAAATCCATTAAAGTAAAAGGAGGAATACTCGTAAATTCTACAGATGACGTTGTTCTATTTAATGTAATTTCATAATTAAAATTAATTAATATATTAATAACGATTATACAAATAAGTATTTCTATTGATAAATTTTTATTTGTTTCAATTTTGAAAATAAGGAACAGTACATGTATGAAATTTATTTCATTCTATATCCATTTTAATAAGTAGATCAAATATACTCGATCAAATATTCGTTTGATCAATAGTAGATCAATCGAAAAAGAACAAATATACAAATATTTCTTCCTTTTCGATTGATATTTACTCAAGTAAATTGAAATATCATTTATTATTTTCCTTTCTATTAATGTAATGCAATAAATTTTATTTAGCGTGAGGTTTGTATATAAATTTTATATAATACAAGCATTTATTAGATTTGGGATTTGTATAGAAATTATATTAAAATTAAAACCTTTTAAAAGACTTATTATACAAAAATGAATGTACTTGAAACCTTTCTGATATGACCCTGTTTAATTGATTGTAATATCTATTAAACATTATATGTTTTGAAGTATTTAACACGAGTATTACAGTATAATCAAAATTATAAGACATATTTCTTCATACAGACATGTTGTGAATCCTCGTTAATTCGAAATCGGATACTTCGAAATCCCGTTATTTCGTGACTGTACTTTTGTCCAAGCCGAAGATTTAGAGATTTACACATAAAGGATTTCGGTTAGTTCGAAATTCAAAGTGAAAATGTTGTCGGAACTGTGATACCAGCACTTTAAGTCGTTTGTTTTGATCGATGCTATAAGACAGGGCTTCTTATACTTTTTATATTCACGACCCCGTTGATGATTGTGATTTTTTCGCGGCCCAAAAAATATAAAATAAAGATATATACAAATGTGAAAATCAATAATGATGTAACACAGTTCACTCTTGTGTTACAATGGAACGGAGACAACCGAATACACTGAAAAGCGACAAAAATATACTAGTTCACACTACAATCAATGTTCTGAATCGATGTTTCGCTGCACCAGAAGTGACACATAGCGCACCTCAGGAAACCTAGGACACAAAGAGTGACAGTTTCAAACTCTCATAAATTATTTTCAATATTTTGCATTAAAATTTCGCGACCCCAAGATTTCGCTACACGATCCCAAATGGGGTCACGACCCATAGTTTAAGAAGCCCTGCTATAAGAGAACGATAAACCAAGAACAAATTTAGTCTGGTCAATATGACTTTGCTTTTACAGTAACACGTTTGCGGGTTTCGCCTTACCCGTGGACAACCATTTTAATCTTTTATATCATAAAATACGGCTGGGTTTTTGGTTGGCAAAATTAGCAGATTAACACATATGTGGAGCTCTAGACTAAGGCATTTGGCCACTTAATGAGATCACATAAAAAACTGGTGAAGGCATTAAAATGTAAAGCTTTATTTATAGTCCATCTTGGCTAACTGATCCGATTTTCTAATTTTCTAGTTAAATCTTGGGGTATTAAAAAGGAATTTTTTGAATTGCCTACTTTTTAGGAAATTTTTTACAACAATGGCTAAAAGCATGTGATCAAAGTGTGGACGAATACCATTTCTGTTGCCTTTTTATGTTGTAGAAGACTTGAAGAAAAGTCAAGTAAATTTAACACTTGTACGGAGTAAAAGTGAAGAAAAAAGAAAACATTTCGGATGAAGGGAACTCAAATTATAGTCAAGAAATCAGTAGAAGGTGAAAAGGAACGAATTCGAAACATCTTTTGTGAGCGGTAGCCATTTTTTAAATCTCAACATCCATAATTCTAGTCTTTAGCTCACGTTAACATCTACAATACACAAAACGTGCAATTATTGTAATTTTGACTTATTTTTTACATATCATTTACATTCTGTGTAGATACTTTTCGAATAAACACCTTTCAAAACAATTTTGAAAACATTTCAGCAATGACACTTTACGATAAAAATTTTGCAAATACCGGAATAGATTTGTGAAAAATTTATTATAATTCAAATATTAAATAATTCAAAATAATTTAAAAATTTTAAAAGATTTAGCGTAGAGAATACAAACACGAAAACGACGAATGTAACTTCCATTTTTGTAAACAATGTGTAGAGAAATAATATAATTTCTTATAATAATTAATTCAATAAACCCTGGATCTATCAATCCCCTGGATAATGTTAAAAATCAACCCTAGATAAATCAACCCTGGATAAATCAACCCTGGATAATGTTAAAAAATCATATTAAATTTATTTCGAGTAAATTATTATTACTTTCGGGTGTTGTTTGGATAAAACACAAAGTTTAGAAAAAAATATTTTCCAAGTTTATAGAAAAAATTGAATATTAGATATACTTACATCTGTACTTACACTAGTGCTCTTCATTACTGCAAGGATAAAAAAATCATGAAGATATAAATGCAATTTAAAAATCTTTTACAGAAATAATTTACTTTAATATGTCTCCGATTAGCTGTGGTTAAAAATATTAGTGATATAAAGCACTTATATTTGAACTTCATCATCTCTAAAATAAGTACAGAAATCTGCTTTTAAATATAAACATTCTCATTTTCATTTAAATATTATTATTAGTTAATTATTGTTCTGATTTAAGAAAATTAATTTATTATATATAAATATAATACTGTAAACAATATTTTTAATTGCAGAAAAAAAGAACCAAAAGAATCTTTTAAGTAACCACTGTAAAAACTAAATATAATTTGCAAACCCACGAAAAAATCCATACAAGAGAAAAGCCTTTCACCTGTGACGTGTGTAAACAGAAATTTATACAAAAAGGAAATTTAATTATACACCTTCGAACCCATACTGGAGAACGGCCTTACAGTTGTGAAGAATGTAAACAGAGGTTTACACAATACGGAAGCTTAGTTATCCACACCGGAGAAAAGTCGTATGTGAGAAACCGAGGGCTCCGGGGATGTCCCCAGGAACCAATTACTCGGCAACAGTCTGCAAAGACCGCTCACGTTGTCGTTTTGGATGGCAAAATTTTATCGAGTGCCGAGGTGGTGAGCGAGTCGATAGGTGTCCTTGGATAGACAAGAGACAGGTTTGACAAACAAAATAAAGCATTTATTATATTACTAACTAGAAGATACAAGACGCTAACAAAGTTTGATACGTAGACAAGTTACATACGGCTAAATGCAATTAAGATGCGATTACAATCTCTAATATTTTACAAATGGCTGATCTACCAGATAGGCCTATTTTCCAGAGAGAGAGAGAGTTCGCAGCCCGCTAATAATTACCTCGAATGTTTGTGAAGAGCTATAGGTGGTGATACTGTATGGTGATATATCCCGAGCCGTTACACGTCTTCCAACCGGGTCTTCTCCTTTTGTTGGATCGGGTCCTTTGTGTGGAGGTCCGGGAGATGGAAAAGACACTGTTACGAAATATAACTTCCGTATGCGAACTGCCGAGCTTCCCGTGGCTCACGCTTTTATTTCATTGTGGTGGGAAAGGAGTCACGTGATCGTCAAACGTTGACGATGACAAGCATTCTTGACAGCTAAGTGTCAACTTTCCCACTGACTTGTTATTACAATTGATGACCTTCGCGATGATTCTCCGTTCTTTCTATTGGTGGATGTTTACATTTTTAAAAGCACAATTCACATTAAGTTTTACAATCCCTTTAAAATGCGCGGACTTGCACGTATGACTGTCAATTGCGCCCAGCGAAATTCATTCGAAACGAACATCTAAAAAACATTATAATATTCATACTCAAATGTATTTTTTTCGATTTAAAACAAAGTCTTCTGTTTGTCTACAGAACTCTGTATTTATTAGTACAGTTGATTTTAAAATAAAATAAAGTTTTTGAATTTGCTGTAATTTTCTAATTTTAATTTTCTGTTTTCATATACAGAAAGAGTTCACGTATAAGTTTGTTGGAAATACATTTTCTTAATGAATTTCGTTATCATTACTTCATATCAATACCTGAATTGTTAATATGTAATTAAAATATTGTTACATTAAACTTTCTTAAGATTTAATGTACCTGAATGTAAATATACGCAAAGTGACTTTTTTTAAAAATAAATCGTGCTCATCGTATTGTCAATTTTTAAGGTATTCTTAGCTACTCAACAGTAACCGACGACTATAGTCAACAAGGGTGATCGTGTGGCAGTGATGAACGACGACTATAGTCGCAAAAAAATTCATACGAAATACCTGGACCACTTCGTGAAGTCGTAGAATTTTTACGAGTAGTTAAATTCTCTAACTTTGTTTTGGAGTATCTTTTAGTTCACGAGAAATTACAATAAAAGAGAAAAAATTAAAATAAATATGAAATTTTAGAGGGCCATCTATCGACATAAATCGAATTTAAACCTCCCGCCATCATCCGATTGGTTAAAAAAATTAATATTCCTAATTGGCTCAAGTCAGAAAAACGTAGGTGCGACTACTGTAAATCGCGCTATCGCGAGAGCTCCCATACAACCCGGAAAAGCCGACAATATACGTCATCAGTCTATCGGTCCTTGTCCGACTTACTTTTTTCGAAATCAACATTAGAGTAAAACGTAGTAAGACGTAGTAATTTATAGTAAAACGGTCTTCTCTAATATTCGTCGTACTTTGTAAAGTTCGAATTTCAATTTAATATATACTATTTAGTTCGGAAACATTAAAAATACATAATTAAGTAGGAGAATAACATAAAACTTTATTTTTTAGTATAATACAATTTACAAAATCAAAAGTTCGTATATCGTAACATTACGAAAAAACTAGATCGAAACAAACACAGTCAACTAAATTAGGGGTATAAAGACAATAATGAGGTATGTAGATGACTATTTGATAGTATATAATAGAAATCTGATTCATAAAGAAACTATATATAATTTAATAAACAACATAGACAAGGTTATACAGTTTGATATTAAAGAAGAAATTAATAAGAAAATTAATTATTTAGATATTACCATATTGAATAATCCTAGAAAATTTGATTTTATAACTTATAAAAAATCTTGTAATGTAAGCAAAACTATTAATTACCATTCTTGTATTCCTGATTACATTAAAAAGAATGCATATATTGTCGAATTAAAAAACATATGTACTAGAATATCTGATAATTATAACATAAATATTAAACTAAAAGAATTAGATACCAAATTCCTTTTGAACGATTACCCAAACTTTATACTTAAAAAATGGAAAACATATTATTTAAAGAATAGATATAATACTAAGTTGAAAACTGATAAAATATATAAGAAGTTTCTATACATTAAAAATATCTTTGAAAAGTGCAGGAAAAGTATTAAGAATCATAATATTTGTTTGGCCCCATCTTTGACCAATAGTATTTCACAAAACATTAGTAAACATATTAATAATAATAGTAAAAATAATTTAGACCCTTTAAAAAAAGCTGGTGTGGTTTATAGAATTGAATGTGACTGTCATAATCCGTGTGTATATATAGGAGAAACCGGGCGTGTACTAGAAACTAGAGTTAAAGAACACGAAGCGGCCATTCGGCTTAAGTATAATAATTCTCCGTGGTTTAACCACATCAATAGTAATAATTGTAATATTAATAGAAACAATGTAAAAATTTTACATATTGAAAAAGATATTTATAAAAGAAAATTCAAAGAACATATAGAAATTAGAAAACAAAATAATAATAATTTAATAAATCAGTCGAAAGGGATGGAAATAAATTATAGCTGGTACAATCTAATAGATGGCGCTAGAATAAAATAAAAAATAAATGGTTATGTATTAAGACGTCATCACTTGATTACCGTTGTAAAGTGTTGATGGTATACTGATGCTAATGAGGTTAAAAATTTGTAGTGCTTTGGAATTATCTTTACAATTGTTTGTCAATGAATTTTTAATAATTAGTTTGTTTTAGTATGTTTATTATACACGTATGTGGAAAAGATTTTTAAACTTGTAAGTATAAGTATTGTTTAAGATATTATTTGCATTAGCCTTATATTGTTTTGTACAAAAAAAGATAATTGTAATTTTAGGATTCTTACAAATGTGTACAAAGTTTACCACCCCTACCCATGGAAATATCATTGTAATTACCACCAGCGGTTATTGTAAGTTTTTCTCCAAAATTTATAATTTTGGTGTAGATATACATCTATGTCGTGTTTTAGTTAAACATTTTACGTTCTTTGTTATTATTTTAGCACTGAAGAGGGACTGGAAAATATTAGACCAGCCCGAAATGCATTTGATGTAGTCTTTACAAAATAAATTTAATTTGCCAATAAGATTGCTGTGAGATTTGTCTACCAAGAATATTTTTGGATTACAGAGACTAAAATCGTCATATTAAAAATTTTAAAGTATAAAATTTTTCTCACATTTTCTGATCGAGTAATACAAGATACTTTTTGATATACAGTAATACTTCGACTTACACGAACCCAGAGTTACGCAATTTTCAAATCTCGTCGATTTGTCTTTTGTTTGAGCGCCACGCGACTCTCGATTTCTCACTCCCCCCACACTATTGTTTAGCATACGTGTTCGGATGTGTCGCGCGGAATCGACTCATAGTTACAATTTATTTTGTGTTATTTATTTCTGTGTTTGTTATATCTAAGGAGAGTGGAGACACTCTATGTGGTGATTTCTTGTAACCGTGAACGAATCAGAAGCCGAGATAAGATTAACGAGAACATTTATTAGCTTACATACATCCGACTTGGATTTTACACAAATTGCAAAATTATACCCCGACTTCGCAGTTCTCGCTCGGTTCCACCTACCGCGTAAGTTCGGGGTTTTACTGTACTAGTCTAGCCGGTTAAATTCAAGATACGTATACCGTCATCGCGGCTCATCTCTGATTCCAGAAAACAAAAGGAAACAGTGGGGACGCACGTTCTAACCTAACCTAACCTATTCTAATAATTTGGTTGGTAATAATTATGGTAATTTATTAGAATAGGTTAGATTAGAACGTGCGTCCCCACTGTTTCCTTTTGTTTTCTGGAATCAGAGATGAGCCGCAATGACGATATATGTATCTGGAATTTAACCAAAATGTCAAAAATCTAGCAACAAATTAATTTCCTAATAAAGGGACTACTCGCTAATTGCTTCTTTCACGTTGTTTTACGTAATAGCACTAAATCAGTAGAGATGCTAACTAACAGGCTTATAAACAATAAAAAAACATAAAAGTTTCGATATTAGGACTAGATTATTATATGCTCAAATAAATTAGTAAGCTTATAATACATACTCTCACTTATATCCAAAGATCACTTGTCGCTAATTGTCGAAAATAAATTATTTTTCAACTTTTCTTTCTGTAGAATATTCTGAAACAAGTTCTAAATTCACAGTAAAATTTCCAACTTCTATCCATTAAAAACAGCGCAAAATATATCCATTCACGAAATAAAAATCTATCGCAGCGAACTTGGAAAGATAACGAAAAGATACAAGCAACAAACCGC